TTGTTCGTGTTCCACCCGTGTCCCCTTGTTCGTGTTCCACCCGTGTCCCCTTGTTCGTGTTCCACCCGTGTCCCCTTGTTCGTGTTCCACCCGTGTCCCCTTGTTCGTGTTCCACCCGTGTCCTCTTGTTCGTGTTCCACCCGTGTCCCCTTGTTCGTGTTCCACCCGTGTCCCCTTGTTCGTGTTCCACCCGTGTCCCCTTGTTCGTGTTCCACCCGTGTCCCCTTGTTCGTGTTCCACCCGTGTCCCCTTGTTCGTGTTCCACCCGTGTCCTCTTGTTCGTGTTCCACCCGTGTCCTCTTGTTCGTGTTCCACCCGTGTCCCCTTGTTCGTGTTCCACCCGTGTCCCCTTGTTCGTGTTCCACCCGTGTCCCCTTGTTCGTGTTCCACCCGTGTCCCCTTGTTCGTGTTCCACCCGTGTCCTCTTGTTCGTGTTCCACCCGTGTCCTCTTGTTCGTGTTCCACCCGTGTCCCCTTGTTCGTGTTCCACCCGTGTCCCCTTGTTCGTGTTCCACCCGTGTCCCCTTGTTCGTGTTCCACCCGTGTCCCCTTGTTCGTGTTCCACCCGTGTCCTCTTGTTCGTGTTCCACCCGTGTCCTCTTGTTCGTGTTCCACCCGTGTCCTCTTGTTCGTGTTCCACCCGTGTCCCCTTGTTCGTGTTCCACCCGTGTCCCCTTGTTCGTGTTCCACCCGTGTCCCCTTGTTCGTGTTCCACCCGTGTCCCCTTGTTCGTGTTCCACCCGTGTCCCCTTGTTCGTGTTCCACTCGTGCTTAATAGTTTGTCTTTGTCCACCCTGTTAATCCCCCCTAATCATTTTGTAGGTGGTTATCATGTCTTCCCTTACTCTTGTTGATATCACTATGACGGGAAGATCCTGTCTGTCACAGTTACTCAACCACTATGACAAAATCACAGAAGCTCTAGAAGAAAAGCAAAATGCAGACGTTGTGTACACAGACTTTGCAAAGTCACTCGATAAATGTGACCACGGAGTGATAGCCCATAAAATGTGATCAATAGGGATAACGAGTAAAGTGGGTCATTGGATATTTTACTTTCTGTCAAACAGAATGCAGAGAGTGACGGTCAATCAAATAAGATCAAGCCTAAGTGCAGTGCAAAGCTCTGTACCCCAGGGCACAGTCCTTGCACCGCTGCCATTTCTCATTCTTATCTTGGATATAGGCAAAAATACTAGTCACAGCTTCGTGTCATCCTTTGCAGGTGATACAAAAATCAGCATGAAAATGTCCTCTGTAGAAGATTGAAAAACTGCAGGCAGATATTAATAAATTCTTCGATTGGGCAACTTAAAATATGATATTTAACGGTGGCAAGTTCCAGGTACTTAGGTATGGTGGAAACGAGGAACTTAAACGAAACACAAGGTACTGGACACAATCTGACCTACTCAAAGAAGGAAAGCAACATGTAAAAGATTTGGGAATTGTAATGATTGATGACCTGACATTTAGTGAACATAACCGAGCAAATATAGCGGCGGCGGCCAGGACAATGATAGGATGGATTATGAGAACGTTCAAATCCAGAGACCCCACAGCGATGTTAATACTATTTAAATCACTGATGCTGGCCCGTCTTGAGTATTGATCGGTACTCACTTCCCCTTTGAGGTTGGGAGAGATTTCTGAGTTAGAGGGAATACAGAGAACATACACGGAACGCATAGACACGATAAATCATCTAAATTATTGGGACCGTCTCAAAACTCTCAAAATGTACTTTTTGAAAATGAGACGAGAAATGTATCAACATAATAATACATGGAAGATACTTGAAGGACAGGCCCCAAATTTACACAGTAGAATAACAACATACTGGAGCGAAAGATACGAAAAGAAATGCAGAATAAAAGCAATGAAGAGTAGAGATGCCATAAACACAATCAGATAACACTGAACATCAGGGGGTCCAGAGCTGTTCAACACCCTCCCAGGAAGCATTAAAAATATTACTGGGACAAAGGTGGATGTATTCGAGAGGCACTTAGATAAGTTCCTGCAAGAAGTGCCGGACCAACCAGGCTGTAGTTGATATGTGGGCATGCGCGCCGCTTCAAGCAACAGTCTGTTGGACTAGGTTATCACAAGTCGAGCCCTCAGGCCGGGCTCGGGGAGTAGAACTCTTAACACCCTCTCCAGGTATGCGTACAAATGTAACATTATATCAAACCAGTAGGCATGGCAGGATGTGCAAAATGCCTCATTGAAATTCAAAAGTACAATAGTTAGAGAGAGAACTTTATTAACATCAAAGGCCCAAGACTTTTCAACACTTTCCCCTCTACACATAAGGGGCATAACTGGCCGACCTCTCGTGGTGCTCAAGAGAGAACTCGATAAACATCTCCAGCAGATACCTGATCAACCAGGCTGTGATTCATGCGTCAGGCTGCGATCACCCGCGTCCAACAGCCTGGATGATCAGGCGAAAAACCTGGGGGCCTGGTCAGAAACCAGGGCATAGTGAAGCTGATCTCCAGAATCACCACAAGGTAGGTATGTAGGTTAGGTAGTCACTTAACCTGATCACTTAACCCCCCCAAAAAATATAAATAAGGAGATCACATATGGAATATACATAGACTTTGCAAAAGCTCTCGACAAATGTTACCATGGTGTTAATGCGCACAAAATACACTCATTTTGTGCACAATAATTCGCAAGGTGACTATATGGTTACCTTGTATGGCCGCCCAGTTGGGTGGGTGTGGAGCAAGACTAGTAACTGTGTGACTCACCATAGAGGTATAGTGCCTTGTATAGTGACTGTTGTGAGCCTCTTGTTGAATCACTTGTGATATAAAAGATTATCGATGTGTATATGTATTTGTGTAAATTATTGTATATATATGTACATGTACATATAACATTAACAATTGTGTAACTAGCTTCAAAAGCTTGTCACTTGCTTAGCTAAACGAACTATGGGGCTCAGTTCCTGAACCGATTACGTGCCTCTGTAACCCATTCCACCACCGCCCGCGGGATAGGTATGGGGTGCATAATAAAGAAATTGAAAATTGTATGGTCACCGTACGAGTTCACTTTGTCCATTGTTTTCCTGCTAGGCCTATCTTTCTGAAAATATTTTCTCTTTTGTCCTTTCCTGTGGAGGCACTCGGTGTCCGGACTCATAGCTGCCCCTACACCCGCTTCCTATCACAACTCACAATATAATTTTTTTCCTCATTTCTTCACTCCCTGATTACTATCTAAAATTATGACCCTTTCCCTTTAACCCATCTACAAATCTTGGCGATCTCCCACCACCTCTCTCCCACCTCCTCTCTCCCACCACCTCTCTCCCACCTCCTCTCTCCCACCACCTCTCTCCCACCACCTCTCTCCCACTACCAAGGTTTTCTCTTCCCAAGCTCTTAAGTACGTTTCTGCCCCTATTCCTTCTTGCCTCTTAACTACACGCTCTTTTTCCTTCATGGATCTCTCCCACACAGTTCCGTAATGCTCCTTTTATGACGGCAGCAAAGACTATGGATACAAGTACTAATGAAGGCAAAGTTGTAGAACTGTTGTAGTGTGAGTTATGATAACAGGCGGGCTGTTTGCCTTATTGACTTGATGTGTGTGGTGGTGATGGTGGTGTAGCTAGGCTTGCTCTCTCTTGCGAGGCGGCTGTCGGGTGGTTGTAAGATTCTTCTCGTGTATTTCAACAGGTGTGTGTCATGTGTGTTAACAGTCACATGTGTCCATGTGCCTAACTGAATGTTTAGGAGCATTTATATATGATCATTCTGGTGTACATTTAATTGCTACTGTTCTTTGGGGGTTATTTTATGTACATTTTATTGGTATATATTTTTATCATTAAATTATATATTGTGGGGCTTGGTTGCCATCCTGTATTCCCAGTCCCTAACTCTCACCAGCTGTGGCAGTGAGACAGCTCTTGTTGGCCCAATCGTTCTAGCTTTAGGTCTTCTAACATGTTTCTACATACTCTCGCCCCCTCCCATGTAATATTTCTCCCATTCACCGTCTTCTCTCTCTCTCCCTACCTATCCTCTCCCTCTCTCGATCTTCTTCCTCCTATCATCACTCCTTACCAAAACCCCCTCTCTGCTATTCCTCTTCCCTACTGTCTTCTCCTCCATACCATCTCCTCCTTCCCCTTCCTTCCGCCTTACTCTCTTTTAACATTCCTGACCAGTCATCGGGTCAGATGGTCAAGATGGAAGATCACTCTGTATACCTGTCCTTCCCCATTCTTAGTTTCATCGCTTCTTCTTTCACTTTTGTCTTCCTTCTGACGTGCTGTGGAGCAATTTTGGTTCGGTCTTGGTTTTATTTGCTACGTCATTTTCATGCAGTCCACTCCTCTGCACACACTGAGAGCACTTCCTGCCCTCTGGTATCTCCCTCTGCTGTCTAGTGTTCTGTTATTTCTGTAGTTCTTCCATGCTTTCGTATTTAATTGCCGTTCTTCCTCACATCCCCGATTAAACCACGAATTCCGATTTTGCTTTTAACTTGTTCCCTTTTGAACCGGGATAACCTAATCTCCTGCCTCCTGGCACTTCTTGGTGATGCAATTAATCATATCTTGTACAAGCTTTTCTCTTGAGTTCTGTTTCCCTCATGGTATTCCTATTAGGAACGTTCTCATCTTCCCGTTGGTATGCCAGTCCTCTGCTAACTTGTCCCTTCCTTGGGTAGGGTATTCCTACTTCCACCAGATGATCAAATGTCGGTACACTGTGGTCACCGTGTCACTTAATGCTCCCGCGCAGGAATTGATTGATTGATGAAGATTATGCCATCCAAAAGGTGGCACGGGCATGAATAGCCCGTAAATGGTGGCCCTTTTGAGCCATTACCAGTATCAGTAGATGATACTGGAGATCTGTGGAGGTGCGACTGCACCCTGCGCGACGGGAGATGTCTCCCGTGGCGCAGGAATATCCCTGAAAAAAAAATTAATGCTCCCCCTAACGAATGTTCCTCTTTCCTTTCCCCAGAGCTGGAGGCGCTGGAGGCCTGCAAGTGGCTACGAGCAGCCGGCTTTCCTCAGTATGCTCAAATGTACGAAGGTATGTAACCCATCTGTTTCGTTCATCAAGCTAAGTGCTGCTTAGCCAACATTAATCCATTTTAAAACGTTGTCCTAAAGTATTATGTCTCTTGTGTACTAGTATGTGCTTTATGTGTTCGGTTACACATATTCCATAGACAGAAGTGAGCAAGTTATCGACCGTGGAATAATATTAGAAGATAGATATGACGTTTAGAGGTCACAGTAAAGGTAAACATTGCAACAAGCAGAAAAAGATTTAGGTGGATAACGAGAACCTTCAAAAGAGATGCCGACACGCCAGTGATGGTACTCTTCAAAGAACTCTCCTATGTTAAGTTCATAAGAGTTCTTATGAACTCTTCTTCATAGGAGAAAGTTATCTCCTATGAAGTATTGTTCATTTCTCGAGTTCCGTTTAAGGCAGAGGAGATTGCTGAGCTGGAAAGTGTGCAAAGATTCTTAACTGCACTTATAGAATCGGTGAAACATTTCAACTACTGGAACGAAGACGAAAAAGATATCTCAGCAAGGCAGCAAGACTTCAGCACTGTGTTGAGTCGAGGTTTGAGGCCATCTAGTGGATACAGTTAGGTGAGAACAACGATCATCACTACACAACTATCCTCATCAGTGCAACCATCTTCACTACACAACCATCCTCATCAGTGCAACCATCTTCACTACACAACCATCCTCATCAGTGCAACCATCTTCACTACACAACCATCCTCATCACTGCAACCATCTTCACTACACACGTTCATCACTGTAACAGTATTTACTACGCTGTTTTCAATGTAAACCCTCTCCACTACACACGACTGACGACACTGTAACAACGAAGATGAAGGAGAAACTTAATTAAGGAGGCATTTAGGGCGCTTTACACTGCCGACGTGAAGTCAGTCTTAAGAGTATGTCGCCATCATGGAGTACCCACCAAAAGAAACTCATAAGGAAACGGGGCGCATCCGATCCCACGATCGTCGTCGCCCCTAACCCAACAACAACACATAAGGAAACGGGAAAAGGTTCAGAACTTTGCAATCGAAGATGAAAGAAAGACCCAGTTTATGTTTAAGTGTATTACAAAAATAAATTCGGATGTAATCTGCAGCCTTTCTAAGGGTACTGTATACAGCGTTCTGCGCAAGATTCTAGGAGCTTGTGTTTATGTCCGGCGGAGCACCTCATATGGCGTCCTTCATGAGACGTTACTGTGATATGCTCCCCAGGGACTCTCATAGGATGTCGAAGTTTCAGAAGAATGCTCAGTTATCTTCTGGGAACTGTGGGCAGGGATTCGAGAAATCATTGTCCCTATTCTAAACACCACAAGGTCGTCTGTGCTTATATAAATTAATTTGAGATAGGTTTGCTTCCTTAAGGATAATTTTACAGTTACTCGGATCCACTTTACTAAAATATTTATTGCTCTTTTACTCTATAGAATCTATAACTACTACTTCTATTAGTCGGCTCTCTTTAATATCAGTTAATTTGATATTAACCACTGTACATTATTTGATCAGTTATATAGAATTTGTCTTAAAATCCATGCTATGATTTAAATTCCAAAAATGGTTAGCAATGGCATTATTCTTATCAAATTTTGTTACTGCTTTTTTATGTACTGTACATTAACTCTTTTTCAATAAACCACGACTAGTCTTTCCAACATATAAGTTGCAATCATTACAATTTATCACTAAACACCATTACCTACATTGTTCTTAATATTATTACTAACATTACCATTGCTACTTCTACCCACATTGCCATTATTATCAACGCTAACAACACTCCTGCTGTTATTATTGTTAACATCAACGTTATTAACAAGACCATCACTCTCATCAGTAGTGTTATTATTACTGTTACTATTGTTGCGGTAGGTATCCCTCAGCCTCTGCAAACTCTAAATTCTTCAATAAATCTTTCAGCCACTGGTTTGTCTGAGCTGGCAGCCTCCCCATGCCTCACAACACTATGAATACCACTTCTTTTTCTAAATTTCTCAAACCAGCCCCTGCTTGCCTTAAACTCTTTCGTATCTGCATCACTCGTTCCAGGGGTTTTCTTTACAAGGTCTTCGTGCAATACCCTGGCTTTCTCACAAATGATGGCCTCTGAAACATTATCACCCTTTAACTCCTTGTCATGTATCCAAATTAATAACAACTTTTCTACATCCTTAAGTATGTGTTTTGTGATTGTTGATACGCCTTTTGCCACTTTAGCACTCATAATGTCAGTTTTCTTGGCAAGTATAGTGCATATCGTTGACGTGGATTTGTTGTACTGCCTACAAAGTTCAACAACACGTGCACCATTTTCATGCTTCCGAATGATCTCTTGCTTTTCCTCTATTGTCATCCTCACATGCGATTTCTTACTTTGAACCTTATCACTGGCTTTCTTGGGACTCATTGCAAGATATATAATGACATTTTATGCTCAAATAGCAAAAAATAAAAAAAAAAACAGTAAATCCTTGTGAAGAATTCAGGCAGGGTAGTCACTGGGTGCGAGGCACTGGTAAACTATGAGGCGATCACCGTGCCACCACATGCTAGGTCGGCCCGTACACATATCAACACCCTTGTATCCTGAGGCAACGCTCGTATCCTGATACAAATTTTTTGAGCAAATCCTGCTCGTGACCCGAAAAACTCATAACTAGGGGCGTTCATAAGCCGAGATACCACTGTATGTAGTATTCTATTTTCATTAATTTGTAGTTTTTCATTAGTTGCGACTTGTTACAAATTCTTGGGTAGTGTGCTTGTTGGTCTAGACTAATTTCAGGTAGATTCTATGGTAAAATAATATCATCTGTTATATAAAGTTTATTTTGGTTATGTGGGATTCAAACCGTGACCAATATGCACGAAGCTCACATACCACCACTGCTTTGTGATAAGACACAATGTCTGATATGAGATTTTATACTGTACTTCGTTGTCACTGCATTACCTTTAATAATTAATTTTTACAGCATGCTCTCAGTTCATTCTTTTAATTTGTGCTTATACTGTATACAATATTTGTCAATGCATGTGACTTATTCGTTCCTGCTACAGAGCTGCAGTTCCCTTTGGATCTGGTTTGTGTGGAGAGGGACCACACTTTTCTGGATGGAGACTCTCTGCAGGCACTCTTCAGGAGGCTCAGGGCTCTCAACCGCTGTGCCAAAATTCGTCTCGACTCCGCCAGGAAGAACAAGGTGGGTGTTCTTGCCATTGATAAGCTGGGAGAGTTCAGTATGACTTACTCAGGGTTCTTGGGAAGTTCCATGGGACATAGTCAAGGATGTTACCTTGAGGTGATTCTTAGAACGTTGTCCCAGCTGCAAGGCATGGTCAATCTGTCGTATGCTGCTGAAGGCAGTCTGATGTATGAATTGATCAGGTATTCTTTGGAGGTGCTTATTAAGTGCATGCTTGAATGCCAAAAAAAGGTTGGCTAATTATGTACTTATTTTTAGAAGGAGGATGTTGAAGGGTATTGGGGCTGTAATGATTTAGAGTATTTTCTAAAAATACCAAATGCCGCCCTCTTTTTCAAAAGGGGTGTCTTACGCATTTGGCCATGCCTCCTGGTCACAGTAGGAAGTATTTCATAATGCAGATTTGGATTCAGTTCATATAATATTTACCAGGTATGAATTATGCAACCTATCCTCGTAAAATTATAGTACTTATAGCAACTACATGTATTTGGCTGTGAAAAAAGCTTAAACAAACCAATGGTGCACTGAAAACAAATATTTTCTCAATTTTTTTTCATTCAAAATTTTTTAAATACCCTCCCCTGACCACATATATATGTTGGAAAAAACCCACAAATGTACATGCTTTGGCTGCAGTGGTGTCCAGGAAATGGGGTGTTACATCACAGATGGGTGGTCGCCTATGGCAGAGACTCCTGGATCTAGATTCACGAAGCGCCATGTATTTCTTCTTAAGAAGCTGTGCTACGAAGATTCTTAAGTACTCGGTAAGAAGAGCCATATGAACGATTCAGGAAGGTGTTCGCATGCAGTTATTAGCAACTGTGATGTAGTTCACTAAAGTCTGAATAGATGTCACTAGGCCTTTTTGTTTGGTCAGAGAGACGGTAACATTGTTCATCTTACAGGTTTAGCCAATCACGGCGCCTGTTTATCGGGGCTCATCGGCCATCACCTGCCACCAATTTGTCATATTTTCTTATAAAATTAGTTTATTTTGAAGTAAAACGATGTTTTTTCAACTAATAAAGGTAGCACCATCATTGTAGTAAACAAACGTTACATTTTTTCTTTACCTACGTAATTCTAAGATATTGTATGGCTTTTGTTGTCGCTCGGAGGATTGAGACGCGATACGCTGATAATTACTGTATGTATTTACTGTACCTGAATTTACCCAAGGGCCACTAACTCTCTTGTGGCCTCGACAAGAACAGAAAGCCGGTGGCTTGTTAAAGATCCTGCCAATTGTTCTAATGATATTTTCTAGCTGGAGTTTGAAGTTTAACAGTTTTGACATTTATGGCTTCAGTGGGTAGGCAGTTCCATGAGTTTATAACACAAAGAATTTATTTGCTTGATTGGATTCAGTAATCTCATATTATAGCACTTTTATACTAAATTATTCGTTAGTGATTGCTCTATCAAATGACATTTTCAAAATGAAAAATTCTTAATAAATGTATTTTTTCTGAATATGTATTTCAAAACTGATACAGTTGGCTTTATGCAAATCCATGCATTTTGTTGTATTTAAGGCCACCAATAATAGTTATAGTTATGATTTTGATATGGAATTGTTCATCAATGATTGTTCCATCATGTGCCACGTTCAAAATGATATATACATAACAATTTTTTTCTTTATAATGGATGTAGGACCTCTGTTTTTTTCACATAGAGGGGAGGGATAGCCTGGGGCTGATGAGTAGAATTGACCTCGCCTCAAGCGAGGACACACTGTACTGGCAAAACGGGGAGATTGATCTTTAACATCCTAATGAACAGAACCCAGAGTGTAATTGTCAACAACATAAAATCCGTATCAGTCACCGTGAAAAGCTGTCACTCAAAGTGTCGTACTTGTTCCAGTACTTTGAGACCATGAGCAACCTGTGTACTACTACACCTAATACATTAGGGACCTAATGCCTAATGTATTAGGCAGTGATGTGGTGGAGGCTGACTCCATATACAGTTTCAAATGTAGATATGACAGAGCCCAATAGGCTCAGGAATCTGTACACCAGTTGATTGACAGTTGAGAGGCGGGACCAAAGAGCCAGAGCTCAACCCCCGTAAGCACAACTAGGCGAGTACAGTGTACACCATTCATTTTGTTGTGCTTTTGTGTCTTATGGTTGTTGGTCCCACAGGTTGAGGAGTCAGATGATGAGGAGCAGCAGTGTGCCCTCTCTGGCAACTGGAAGTTCCAGCGACACTCCAGGCGCTGGTCCAGGATAGTCCATGACCGCTCACCCAGTACAGGTAAGCCCCATATCTCATGCCTTAACAATCCTCATCCCCTCGATTCCAAAACACAAACTGCAGAAGAAGTTGCTCAGTCTCTTTATGAATGCTTTTTGTTGGTTTTTGCCTCTGCCATAAGTGTAGCGCATGCACACTCTCACAAGCGCGTGCACACTGACACACATTTTCTAACTGACAGACAGATGAGGGCAGTAATCAGAGACAGTGTATCTAGCAGAGTACCACAGGGTTCAGTTCTTGCACTAGTAATGTTCATCTATATAAACGATCTACCAGAAGGAATACAGAATTATATAAACATGTTTGCAGATGGTGCTAAGATATTGGGGAAGATAGGAGGTGCAAACGATTGTAATGCACTTCAAATTAATCTAGATAAAATAAGTGCTTGGAGCATCAAGTGGCAAATGGAATTCAATGTGAAAAAATACCATGTTATGGAATGTTGAATTGGAGAAAATCATCTACATATGTATTACACGGTTCTGGTAAATTTACTCCCATCATCTCTATATATGTATTGCGCGGTCTAAGGGTTAAAACAGGGTTTTGCGATTTATTAATCTCTGTTACTTGATGCTGTTGTCTTCTTGGTTTTGATTCCATTATATATTATGGTTTTGCCTACCTATCAAAATTTAAATTTTTTTTTATTTGTTATTGTTGCAGGATAAATTATTACCTGGCAATTAACATAGTGAAATGTGTTTTGTTGCAGGTGGTGAAGGCAAGGTTTGTGAGCCCCGAGGCCTGGAGCTGCCAGATGATCCCCTGCTCGGGCAGTTCAAACGTTCAGGCTCTGAGAGACTCAGAGATGGTGCTAAGGCTCTCCTGAAACGCATGGAGTCTCTCAAAAACAAAAAGAAGAAGCGGCAGAACAGGGATGGTGTTATTATCAGTGGTCCTAAGGTGAGGGCCATGGAGTGCGTCTGGCATAAATTGGAAGTAATTTAGAGTCTCAAGGAGATAATTGCTATTTTCATTCAACATATTCTGTACTTTACATTTTCTACATGTTCAGTGTTTTTATAATGTTTTATTGTAATTATTTGAGTTAATGCAGTTAATGTTGGTGTCAGGTGTTGGACGAGGCTCACATGGAGGCAAGAGTGGCAGAGCTGGCATGTGTAGACATATCTCCAGATGCATCGCCTGAACTTTCAACCCGCAGCATCACCACTGCCCCTGGCCGCTCCAGTCCCACCCTTCCCAAAGACATACCTCACACCACCCGTGGCGAGGTTTCTATGATATTTCTTTAGTACTGTTCCCTCCAATTTACTGGTGTTTGACAATAATTGTTCTTAATGCTGCAACAATTTTAGATAAGATCTTTATCTTCTCTTGAAACTGATTATTTCCTCTGCATTAGATATCTTTTAACTAAAAAATATGCACCTGTTCATGTAATTGTAGTAGAGGGAAGTAAGAGTTGCAAATGTTTTGGGGACAAAATTTAGTTTGTGAACCACAAATATTGTTCAGCTCCTGTCATACCTGGGGCCAGATTCACGAAGCAGTTACGCAAGTACTTACAAACGTGTACATCTTTCCTCAATCTTTGACGGCTTTGGTTACTTTTATTAAACAGTTTACCAGCATGAAAACTTTCCAATCAACTGTTTTTATTGTTATAAACAGCCTTCTGATGCTTCGGAGCTCATTAACTGTTTAATAATTGTAAACAAAGCTGCCAAAGATTGACAAAAGATGTACAGGTTTCACTGACCTTCTGGGTGCCTTCCTCAGTGGTGACTTAAATGAATAACTTAATATACAAATGCCACCGCTCCCTGCACCTCTGTGAGGGGGTTGTGGTCAAGTTCTGGCTTTTGGTCCCCAGTAGGCCATAAAACTCTATAACAGATTGAACTTAATAGCATGACACACTTTTAGAGAGAGTAGCTTCAGAGGCACCACCAGGGCTTACCCAGAAATTGGAGTTTCATTACATTCAATGCTGGTTTTTTCTAAATGGTAAAAGAAGTGAATAAATGTAACAGATCCATGAATTATGAATATAATTATTTTTTCTTTACAGGACTCTTCATCAATAGCATCTGATCACTCTCAGACTTCCACCCCGATGTTTCGCAGTCGGCGGAGACGAAAGATCAATTGGCGGACAGGAGGCAGCAATCAGGGTGGCAGGGAGGGTACTGGAGGAGCCTACAGTGACTCGGAATGCTCGCCCCCCACCTGGAGACACTACCTCACAAATGCCAACTCCAATAAGATGATGACAGCTGGACAGGTGAAGCATTTTTCATACTTGCCTTACCTTGAGGTGCTTCCGGGGCTTAGCGTCCCCGCGCATATGCCTTATTTAAATTTCATTTTTATTTAATTTCATTCTTATTTAAATTTAAAAAATAATTTAAATTCCCCGCGCACTGCCTTACATGGCATACTTCGGTGCCATGTAAAAATGTTTTCTGGGGGACTGAAGCTATCTTGCTGAGATGGATCCCAACTACTTGATCACATCAGCTGTGGAGTTTGGCTTACCGGGGACCAGAGCCAGAACCTGGCCCCACCCTCACAGAGGCACATGGATCAGGTGACATGTAGTGATATTTCTAGCAAAACTAGAAGACTCTATCTTCTAGTTTTGCATATTTAATGCCTTTAATCTCTCCTCATAGCTCTTGTCCTTCAGTTCTGGGAGCCACTTAGTGGCATGTCTTTGCACACGTGTACATAAGGTGTTGCTGGATGTAGTATACTCAAATGTTTTCCCTACATTAATATGTGGAGGGGGAGGGAGAAGAGAAGACAAGGCCAGCTTTGTTGACTATTATACTTTGGGTTCTGCTTATTAGGAAGTTAAAGATCCACCTCCCTACTTTGCCAATAATTTCTTTTGTGCACATTTTGTGTGCAATAACACCATGATTACATTTGTTGAAAGCTTTTACCAAACTGTTTATAATGCCTCGGCGTTTAATTTTTCTCCATGACATCTAAGGCCATGTTGTAATAGTCTAGCCATTGAGAGAGGCAGGAGTGCCCTGTTCTGTACCCGTGTTGCCCAGAGTTATGCAGACACTGTGATTCCATGTGTTTTGTAAAAATAAGGTGTATGGTGTTTTATTTCCTAGTTGGTTCTATTTGCTGGTTTCAAGGAAATCTGTCACATCTGCAAGAGGCCATCTGTGTGTATGTGTTTACTTAAACTGCTTCCTGGGATTCATTCTGTTATAACTGCATTTGCCACATGTTTTACATTTTAGGTGCAGTAAGTTGATTTTGCCAAGCAGGAATGTAATGAATCGCCTCTTTCTGGGGTAGGCCCCGGTGGCTTTCTGAACCCTTGTCTTTTCTTGCGCTCATCTGCTCCAGGACTGATAGCGCTGTCAGTAGACAGTGTGAGTTCCCCGCCCCTCTCTTTCCCTCAAACTAGTGAAAGGGGGGGGGGGGCGAACAAGAGCATGCTCATTTTGAGAGATTCGATTGTTTTCGTTATTGGGGAGAGTTTGTTTGGTGGTTTGAGGCTTCAGTCTGAACCCAGCAGTGGTCTGTAGTGGTTTTCTGACCTGGATGCTTTGCTGGCAAGATGGCAGTGTCACCTGCTCCCTGTGCCTCTGTGAGGGTGCCAGGTTCTGCCTCTGGTCCCCAAGATGCTATACAGAACTCCATAGTTGATGTGACCTAGTAATTGGGAGCCATCTCAGCAAAATAGCTTCAGGAAGCCATGGGGTTTCTCCAAGAAAGAGGTGTTTCACTACATTTAATGCTGGTGTTTTGAGTTCCATATGCTGTGTGGGTGAACATACTTGTAATTATAGAGTATCTCTTATAGGGTCTAAAGGCCTACATTCATTAAGCATAAGCAATCACTCGCACGCTTACCCCATCATTAATTGATAATTTTATTTTGTGTATGATTGTTTATTTCTTATCACCACTAAAGTATCTTTCAGTATTTAGTATCATATTCTTTCCATCGCAATAAAAAGATCAGAGTTGAATGTAATGAAATGCCAGTTTCTGGGTGAGCTCAGGAGGCTTCCTGAAGCTAGCATACTGATTAAGTACCATGCTACTTGGGTTCATCGGCTGCAGAGTTCTTGTATGCCTACCGGGGACCAGAGCTAGAACCTGGCTCTCCCTCACAGAGGCACATCTTAACCGAACCTAAACTAACATAATTATGTCAATAATTTATGTTCTTAATATAATATAATAATAATAATTCAAATAAATCAATTGGAAATTTGTTGTTGAAAATAAAGAAAATCACTTGGCCTATTAGGCAAATTGGGCTTTGCATAGTAGGCCAAGAAGTGCGTTCTGGCTACTAGGTACAACATATATATATATAGATTTTTTTTTATTATAATAATAATAATAATATAAATAATAATAATAATAATGATATAGAGTTGCTAAATAAACTTCTTATTCCAGACAACTTCGGTATGTTTAGAAAAGCGAACCA